TACCCGAATCATCCTTAGAAACACTATTGAATATTTTTGATGTCATTTGGACCTCAGGGAAGTTCCCTCCTTCGTGGCGTGATGCTATTGTTGTCCCGATACCAAAGCCCGGTCGAGATCATACTGACCCATCAAATTACCGACCAATATCATTGACAAGCTGCGTTTGCAAAACCATGGAACGCATGATAAACAATCGTCTCGTATGGTACCTGGAATCCAATAATCTTATTACTAATATACAATGTGGTTTCCGGAAAAACAGAAGTACCATCGACCATTTGGTTCGCTTAGAATCATTTGTTAAAAATGCAATAATTAACAAACAACATGCAGTGTCTATCTTTTTCGATCTAGAAAAAGCATATGACACTACATGGAAACATGGTATTTTAAAAGATTTACATGATTTTGGATTAAGAGGCCGTTTGCCTCAATTTATATCCGAATTTTTAACTGACAGGCAATTTCAGGTCCGCGTGGGTTCTACCCTGTCTGATCATTATAATCAGGATCAGGGTGTCCCGCAAGGAAGCATCTTGTCTGTCACATTGTTTAGTATTAAGATAAATAGTTTGTCCAAAGTTTTAAATGATTCGATTGATGGATCGCTCTTTGTGGATGATTTTAATATTTCGTGTCGTGGCAAAAACATGCATACTATTGAAAGGCAGCTTCAGCTATGTTTAAATAAAATCCAGAAATGGTGTCTTGAAAATGGTTTTAAATTTTCAAGATCTAAAACCAACTGTATACATTTTTGTAGGAAATATAAACCCCATAAAGATCCAGAATTAATTTTAGATAACACTCCCATTAAAGTTGTAACGGAAGCCAAATTCTTGGGTCTAATATTCGATCATCATTTGACCTTTCTGCCCCACATAAAATACTTAAAGAATAGGTGCTTGAAGGCCCTAGATTTATTAAAAGTTGTCTCAAATTGTAAGTGGGGAGGGGATCAAAAAACCCTCCTCCAACTATATCGAACACTTATCCGCTCGAAACTTGATTATGGCTCCATCATATATGGTGGGGCCTGTAAGAGCAATTTAAAATTACTTGACACCATTCATCATCAGGGCCTGAGACTTTGCCTTGGAGCCTTCAGAACTTCTCCTATTCATAGTTTGTATGTGGAAGCTGACGAACCATCCCTTAAACACCGTCGCATTAAATTAGCTCTACAATACATCTCTAAATTACGTTCCAATAACTCCAATCCAGCATATGACTGTGTTTTTAATCCCCTTTACGGTAATCTATACAAAACAAAATCTTCTCTTATTCCACCACTAGGGATACGACTACAAGCAGATATTTCTGCTGCTAAAATAAACCTTGGTAATATAGCCCCCACTCAGCTTTTCTCTTCTCCACCATGGCAGTTAGTACATCCAGAGGTGGATCTAACTTTAGCTAAACTGAAGAAATCTGACACAAATCAACTAATTTATCAACAACAATATAATGAATTAAGGAACACATATAATACTTACAAATCCATATTTACAGATGGATCCAAGAATGGTGACGCTGTTGCCAGCGCCACTGTCATTGGATCCAGAACCATATCATCTAGATTACCAAATGACAGTTCTATTTTTACAGCAGAATCACAGGCAATATTAACTGCTCTTAAATATATAAATACCCAATCTAAACATAAACGGTTCATTATCTTTTCTGATTCACTTTCCTGTCTTCAGGCAATTAATAATATATCTTGTCATCATCCACTTTTACGTGAAATAATTGAACTACAAAATGATCTTGCAACTGGCCAGTACGACATCGTCTTTTGTTGGTTACCAAGCCATGTTGGTATCATTGGTAATACAATGGCCGATGCTGCTGCAAAAGCAGCACTCACCAAATCTGTGACACCACTTCTTTTACCATACACTGATTTTAAACCCATAATTAGAACTTACATCCATGATCTAATGCAAAAGAAGTGGGACACTCAAGTAGGTATAAATAAATTACATGAACTTAAACCAACTATCGGCTACACCTACTTGGGCTGTCAGTCCAGATTTGAGGAGGTCATAATACGACGATGTCGTATTGGCCATAGCAGGTATACAAACGATTATTTATTGAAAGGTGAGGATCCTCCGTTTTGTATCCCTTGTGATGAAAGAATCACCGTCAAGCATGTCCTGCTTGACTGTGTTGATTTTTCCATCACAAGGGATAAATATTTTACATCATCATCAATTAAGGATCTTTTTAATAGAATCAATTCTCATTTAATCATAGGTTTTTTAAAAGAAATTGAACTTTTTGATAAATTTTGAATTGTGTACATAGCTATATTTTATATTGGTAATGTATAATTTGTAACTTAGATGGTCTGTGGCTATATCCTCAAAGGGGGTTGAAGTAGCGTAAAATTATTGTCCCCCTGAGAGGATATGTAAGACCACATCATTCAAAGTACATTTATTCTTACCTCGGTTTTACAACGTAGTATATTTGTTTCTTTTAATGGTTGGCTAAAATTGCATACCATTACCAGCAGCTAAAGGGTTGGTGTAAATCCTGCTGGGGAGCCGTGCAGGTAGCAAAAGTAGTGTAAGTCCCCTCGGTCCCTTGTAAGGTGGCCTAACTTTGGTTGCTGGTGATTTATAGCCCAATTTTATATTGTCTTGTTGATTATAAATGTATTGTTTTAACTGTTCTCAACTAGTTTTACTATTGAACCTGTGATATTCTAGTTATCTTACTGTCCATCGTTGACAGCTTTTTATTAAATCAAAATGTAATTATTATAACTGTTTCGTCGCGATATGGCTGAAATACTGCCGATGTGACGATAATTTTCACTCACTCACTAAAATTCAGATCAAAAGGATAAATAATATTTATTCCCGACAGGTGGCCGTAGTAGGGAATATGAAAAAGGAATTCTTTTCTGTACACCGTTTGGTTTGTTGAATTTTGTTTTGAACAGCTTGAACAGGTGCAAGGTCTGAGCTTGAATCAAAGGAATTAATATGCACATTCCTTAGGTTTGTAAATATTACTAATTTACGTCCTGAAAAATAGAACAAATGCTTTTGTAAATACATACACATTGTGGCCAGAATACACATTTTCCGGAAACATGCAACAGAAATTACACCTAAGAAAGTTTTGCCATTTACTTTAAAATTCATATATGAATCAATATTGCAAAGTTAAAAAATTGGGGGCACTTTTTTTATCGTCTAAATAGACTTAAGAAGCCGAACTTCTTTTCATAAATACTGCACAAAACCGGATCACCTACCGGACCATAGCACAACAAACAAGAGTCATCAGAAGATGACAATCCCCCCGGCCCCCACATGTTCGAAAGCACAAATCATCTGACAGTCACATTAAGTCCAACTTGATGAGATTATTTCTCTCTTATCTGTCTGTCCGTATACAAGAGTAGTTATTGTGCTATCAAAACAATACCATGGAATTGGTATTCGGAACTTTGTATTTCTATGTCAGGTACACACCAATATGAACAGACAAAATTAAAGTTGTTTCCATGGAAACAGAATTTCTTTTTTTCTAAACACCCCTAAGTAGCAAAAGGCAAACTGGTCGTTGTGTGTGCAAAGTGTCATGAAAGAATACCTATCAGTTTTAGAGATATGGTCTGGACAAACACACCACTATGAACAGAGAGTCCAAGTCAAACTTGTTGCCATGGAAACAGGATTTTTATTTCTTAAATTCCCAAATAACAAAAAGACACCACTTCAGCCCTTGGTTAATACATGTACCAGGTTAGGATGAAAAGTCTTTCACAGTTTTCAAGTTGTGCTCCGGAAACGAAACCTACCCCTACATTTTGAGACTAATGGAAATCAAGAAAATGAAAATGCAAAAAATCCACAAATATAAGACACCACATCAGGATCTGTTTGATATATCTGCCAAGTGTTGTTGAAAAACATAGAACAGTTTTCGAGTTACCCGCCAGAAACCAAAAACAAGTCGCGCAAAATTATCCGTGAAACTAGCAATCGTGTCCTTGTCCAACTTCTTTCAATAAAGATTGTTAAAAATAATAAATTAAAAAATTACAAAATAGCAAAAGGCACCACTTCAGCATGTTACTGATACATCATTAAAGTTTCGATCAAATATACTGAATGGTTTCCGAATTCTGCCCCGGAAACGAACCCCATCCCCAATGGAGTCAATGTCCAACTTCTTTCCCCAAAAAAAAATTTACATTTTTTTTCTCCGAAAAATCCCAAAATATTAAAAGGCACTACTTCAGTATGTGACTGATAGATTTGCCAAGTTTCGATCAAATACACTGAACGGTTTTCGAGTTCTTCCCCGGAAAAGGAAATGATTACAAACATACGGACGGACAGGCAGACTGGCTGATCGCTACATCCCCCCGCATTATATGCCGGGATGATAAAAAGACCACAAAAAATAAACTAATTGAAGCGAACGTAAAATGATAACGATTTGGCCATAGAACCTAATCGTACACCAGGTACGTTGTTTATGTCTCCAGTTGGGATAGTGACATGTTGGAAAATGCAGAAGAACCTGCTGAAAAATTAAATCCAGACAAGACAACGACACCAATGAGCACGTTTGTTGTGTAAGCAAGTTTGTTTTTTAACTTTGGATTGAACAGTAATCAAGTTATATCACAGTGTATCAGCGTGATATGGGAGAAAAGCCCGAAGTGATGCGTCCAGACGTTTAGCACTTTTGTGAAACCCACGAGCACGGGTATGGTGCCGACAAAACTAGAAAAATATTCGCAACGAACCGGGGGTGAACCCCCGATCATAGGTTTCTAGCATGCCACAGGGTCGCAGCTCGACACAGTGAATTGCGGCGACTTGACGACACATAGGTAATCAGGCGAACCGTTAATCACAAGGGATACATATCACAACGCTTGACGACGGGTTATTATCACTCCCGTTGTTAGATGAAGTCATAGGGAGTGCAGCTTTTGATATGCCGAATGCTGACAAAGGAAGATGTCGTCCGATGGTATAGATGCTGCCGAGACCCTTCGTAATTGAGCGCTTCACGAACCTAAGGACTCGTTATGGGTTGAAAAGGTTGAAGTTAGCGATTAAGTGACAGTGATTTAGATGAAGAAGAACTCGATAAGATACAGATGGAGGGAAATCAGAAAATACAACAAAGCAGACTAGTTGGGGAGTCAAAGCCTTTACCGACAAATTTGTACCCTGCTAGACACTTATTTATCCGAGATAATAAAACATGGCTGGTTTACAAATAATTATGTAAACATTACTTGATCTATTCTTTGAAACATCTTTCAAAATCTTCTTCTCAAAGTAGGCTACATAGATCACTTATTCATTCGGCAAAAAATGCATGGTAGATTTTCAAACAATGAATACCACTGATATGGCCAAATCTCTGCAAAAGATGTATGCCAATGATCCGACAAAGAAAGCAGAAATATCAACTCCCAGCACTCTGAGATCATTTAGAGCTGCAGTTTTCAGAACATTAAGAGACCCTCCCAATTCTCGAAATATTAATACCATGGCCGACAAGGAATTTATTAGTGCAAACGGGATGTTTGAATCGCCCTCTAAAGCGTATTTTGCGAAGGCGGAAGATCATTACAACATAGACCATGATTGTGATGCATTATTTTAAAAGTCCACGAAAGTGCTTCGAAAAATCCGGGATTTGGTACAATAACGCCACTTTAGGTAAAAATACCCTGAGCACCATAATACAGAAAATATCGAGAAAGGCCAGCTCGTCCAAAGTGTACACTTGTCACTCTGTCCAGGCATCCACACTCACACACCTCTACCAGGCATGTTTTGACGACAAGCAGATATACAACATCACAAAACACAAGTCTGCGTCATCCTTGACCACTACATGGTCTTGTACCAAAGATCACTGCGACTGATGTTGGTTGGTTGGTTGGTTGTTTTGTTGTTTAACGCCGCACTCAGCAATATTCCAGCTATATGACGGCGGTCTGTAAATAATCGAGTCCGGACCAGACAATCCAGTGATTGATATCATGAGCATCGATCCATGCAATTGGGATCGATGACATGCATCAACCAAGTCAGCGAGCCTGACCACCCGATCCCGTTAGTCGCCTTTTACGACAAGCATAGTCACCTTTTTCCGGCAAGCATGGGTTGCTGAAGACCTATTCTACCCCGGATCTTCACGGGTTGCGACTGATGTAAATATTCGCTCCCGTTAATGTCTCACATCATCAACATGTCCACATGTCCTCACGGATCGTTTTAACTTGGGTTTACTATGGGCAACATTTCGGACTCATTTCCCTCACATGTAACTGTTTTCCGTTTCGGGGGCAGTGCAAACTTTCTTGAAAGAGCAGCAGTGAAAACCTTTAACAGATAACTAACGTTGTCGAGCTTAAAATAGCGGCTAGTATTGTTAACACAGGCCAAGGCCGAATGTCATCACGTTCAATAGCTTTTGTTTGTTGTTGAACGCCACCGTTCATTAGTTACGTCATCTGGTTTGTTCTATGACTTTTCCATAATTGTAAGAATAGGTCAGTAACATTCCTTATGTGTTGATTTCAGTAAATGTTTGCTAACGGATATCGTTGTTTATTTTTATTTGATAACAAATCCTATCAATTTTTGCTATAAAAATGGTAACGCTATTTTTTCCGACATTTGCAGAAGCCCTCCTTCGTCGGGTAATTAATGGCAGCAAATAATAATGCCCTGAAGAAAATAGCGTTACCTTTTTCGTAGTAGAGAAAAGTAACTCAAAGATGATAAAAATTATTGGAGATGTTAAATATGAAGTTATATATACATCGTGATGTAAATGTCAAAATAAATATTCCAAATTTTACTAAATACAGATGTAATATTATTTCAGCAACCCCAGTTGACAAGATGTACAAGGGTGACAGTGCCCCTTCAAGTGATAACGATGACTTGGACACCATTCCACCACCCACAAACATCTTAGTGGCATCTGAAAAAGAAAGATGAAGATGATGATGGCACAGCAAATGCTCTATATGCATCCTTCGACAATGTCCTACACAACCATGATGGGTCTGAAAGTACACACACGTTCTCACACCTAAGAATATGTTCATCGTGGTTTCAACACCAAAAAACATACATTAAGAACATTTGGCAAGAGTGTGTCCAGCTACCACTCACATAATGCACACAATGTGCTTCATGCACAACTAGATCAATTTTTTTATCAATGCGAAATACAAGTCCATACTGCCACATCTTTATGGAAATAAAATATTATTCAAAATACAAAACATCGGTGCAAGATCTGTGGCAAATACTACCACAAAGAATTGATTCAAAAACATATAACTGAAAAACATGGAGAGAAAACGTTCAAATGTGAAACGTATTAGCCACAACCAGAAAATATGGAACAGAAATGTTCATTTCGACATTTAATCAGAAATTTGTCTTAATGTGGTAAATATCTTCAATATTTTGTCGTCACTTAAGCGTCATGAACCAAAGTGGAACTCAAATGATGTGGAATCACAGCAACTGTGACATGTTGCACACTGAACAAGAAGTCATAGAAATACATTCCTTTTTATTACTCATCCGTGAAGAGATCACTTGTTTAATAGACCTGTGACGATCCGGGGTAGGAATAGGTCTTCAGCAACCCATACTTGCATTAAAAGGCGACTAACGGGATTGGGTGGTCAGGCTCGCTGACTTGGTTGAAGCATGTCATCGATCCCAATTGCGTGGAAACCCGTGAAGATTCCGGAGCAGAACTCTTGACTCATTACATACAGAATTGCACATTTACTTGTGGTTACTTTACAGAGAGCTGCCGGGGGGATATGTCATCCCTCTGGTGACTCTTGTTTTCAATATGATAAACGTCACTGCATTTATAAAAATGCAATAGCTGACTTTGCTACAGGAACACATTGTTGTGATTAAATCTGTTTTATAGGCTTAATTTCAATATAGAACACTACTGTATATTTTAACCTCACAAATTTCATACCTCAGAAGACGCAAAGCGTTTATGATTTTCTTGCCCTTGCACACAAGTTTGCAGATTACACTGGTCCATTGTTCGCAACTCAGATTTAACTTCTGCAGATAAAGAGATGAGGAAATAATGAGTGATCTGCATGTTGAGCCTGTCCTCCATCATGCCGGGTTGAGTTCTTTCACTTTCAGCCACTTTGATAAAAATCAAATCTACATGCTCTGCCAATGTTCCCCTTACACAGTGCCAAACCGAAGACGAGTTAACAGATGATTGGAGTAATTTTTTTGCGTTCTTGTACGCATCCTGAGGGATCCAATGTTTCTCTTAATTAGTCTATAACTTTTATTTCGCCCCAGAAACTTTAACTTTCAAATGTTTAAGATCTCGAAAATACTTCAGCATAGGCACAAGCTCTTTGGCACTTAATTTTTGCATATTGGCACAATTCACTGAATTATCTGGCCCAAACTCGATTATTTACAGACAGCCGTCATATAGCAGGAATATTGCTGAGTGTGGCATTAAACAACAAAAAGATAAAAAAGCCGCGGTAAATATGCATACTTTAACAGTGAACATAATCTCAGATAGCTCCAAAACCTCAATCTGAAACAAATGGGGAAACAATTATTAAAACCAAAATCAAACTTACAGAAAAAAATGTCACAATGGCAGAGTCTGAAAAGGGTCAGATAACCAGATAATCCTTTTCATAAGTTTTGATTCCTAGAGGAGATGGATGTAACCGAAAACATTCATCATGGGGCACACAGCTTGTCGCCCTCAAGAACACAGAGGGATAAATCCCCAGTCAATACCCTGAATAAGTTTCTTCACATATTGTACAGTTGAAGTGCAGAGCACTAATTTTAAAGAAATACAGCCATTAGTCAATAATATTAAACCATCAGCATTCTGTCTACAAGATAGCAATCTGAAGCAAACTTGCATCAGTTCACTACATGTATATACGAGGGCTGGCTGAAAAGTTCTAAGCCTAACTGTGAAAGACCCGTACCAAGGCGATGGTTTTCATTTATTTCTCCACATAGTCCCCTTTCCAGGTTTACACACTTTTGCCAGCAAGGCCTGGATGCCGGTCAAGAAGAAATTTTCTTCAGCCACCCTAAAACAGATATTCACAGCGGAAATGACGTCATCATTACTAGGAAAATGGCGACCGGCTAGTTCCTTTTTCTTTTGGGGAAACAGGTGGAAGTCTAACGGGGCCAAATCGGGTGAATAAGGGGGATGGTCAATGAGTTCGAAGCCACAATCATGGATCGCTGACATGGCAACCACCGATTTGTGAACAGGAGCATTGTCTTGGTGGAACAGGACTTCTTTAGTGAGCATTCCCCGTCGCTTAGCTTTGATAGCTTCACGCAGCTGTCTCAGTAGGTCAGCATAATATCCATTGATAGTCTGGCCTTTTTCAAGATAGTCAATCAGCAGAATACCCTTGGAATCCCAAAAGACTGAAGCCATCACCTTTCCAGCAGAAGGAGCCGACTTGGTTTTGACTAAATTTTGGTTTCTGGTTGAAAGTGATGAGTGAGTGAGTGAGTTAAAGCTTTACGTCACATCGGCAATATTTCAGCCATATCGTGACGAGAAATTTCATTTATTAATACATATGTTTAAACTAAATTAAAACCTGTCATCGATGGACAGTAAAATTACTAGAATATCACAGATTAATATTTAAAACTAGCATACAACTATAAAAGATATCACTATATATAACGGTACAATATAAAAAAGGGCTATAGATCGCCAGCAGCTGAAGGTAGATCACCACACTAGGGTCCATGGGGACGTACAGTACTTTTGCTACCTGCATGGACCCCAGCCGGATTTACATCATCCCTTCCGCTGTTGGCAATTAATGACAAATCTAGCCAGAATAAATGAATATATATACTACGTCTAAAAACGAGCAGAAATAAACATACTTTGAAAAACGTGGTCTTACATACCCTCTCAGGGGGACAATAATTTTACACTACTTTAACCCCCTTCGA